TCGGGCTTTGTGTGGGCAGCTGCGCTACCTTTTTTCCTATATCAATAATATCTCATTTTCCACTTAAATCTTACCGTTTTCTTATTATAAACCTAAAACCAAAATTTGACATTTTTTGACATTGCTATTTATTTCGTTTCCATAGTAATTATATTCAAATTTGCTACCGATCTGTTGTTCCTATTTCGATAATTCCACATAAATACTCTTTTCTCTTGACCATTTACAAAAAATTTGCGTTTAATTTAAATAATTTTTCCGTTCTCTCTAGAAAGGTATAAAAGCCGAACAATCGGTGAAGAAAAGCAGTCTCGCTTCAGTTCGCGAATTGGAAGTATCTCCTAAAGGCCTTATCCCGGGGCCGCACTGCCCCGGGATCCTGCAAGCCTCCACCTACACGTGAAGTCTTCGGCGAAGCCTTCTTCAAGCGCGGAGCCGCACCACTCCGGAATCCTACAAGCCTCCATCTACCTCGGAAGTCGTCGGAAGTCTCCTTCAAGCGCGGGGGCCACACTACTCCGGGCGCTACGACTGCTTACTCCAGGCGCCGAGTGCACCTACCGCCGGCGCTACCTTTGGGCGCTGCAACTGCTGGCTCTAAGCGTTGAGCGCACCTACTCCAGGCGCTACGTGCGCCGGCTCCGGACGCGGCGTGTGCTGGCTCCAGGCGCTGCGTGCCGTCGCTGCTAAGAAACCTACCTCTACAAGCGCAACCGGCGTGTGCTGGCTTCAGGCGCTGCGTGCCGTCGCTGCTAAGAAACCTACCTCTACAATCGCAACGTGTGTCGCTTCGACTTTTAGGCTCTACTACAACTCTATATTCCCCTATTCTCTTACCTTTATTTTTTTTTTGTAATCTAATTGTACTCTCACTTCATTCATCATCATCCTCATTTCATTTTTTTTATAAAATTGTAAATACCTTTTAAAAATTTAAATATATTGTTTTCTGGCTCTACTTTTGTTGTTTTGTTGTACTTAGGTTAGGTTCTATTTTTTATTCTTTATTGTCGCTTCACGACAAATTTTAATAGAAAATTTTAAATATAATTAAAGTCAATTTAAATATATAACGTCAAATTAAACTTTATATCGAAACTTAATTTTAAAATGAACTTACAACTGTTATATATAATACGATCGTTACTGAAAGATGAAAAAATATGAGGGAGTAGGTACGTTACACGGCAGTCGCGTTGATGCAATGAATATTACGTTCATGTCTAAAAACCTCGTGAATTAAACAGAGGGCAGCCGTACAGTTGGGTGCAAGCGGGTAAAGGGAGAGGGGGGGCATTACAAAACTTGGTTTTAACCGGCTAATTCTTACTACCTAAACCTAAATTTGTGAAAAACCAGTTTTGGGGTCAATGACCGAAACCGGTTTAGAATTTGAACCGGTTTCCGAACCCTGCTTAGAGCATTCACCACCTCCCTTTCTCGCTACCCAGAGGGTAGCCCTTTCCATTGCTGACTTAATAAAAATCATTGTAAAGGAAAACTCTGCCCGAATAAAAGTATATATATATATATACAGGGTATTTTTGGAACGCTCCCGAAAACTAAGACAGGCGACAACACCAAGTATACCTTTGATCATGGGTCACAAATAAATTCGATCCTGATGAAAAAAAATCATCTTTTTACAACATTTTATTAGCTTTATTCACGCGCCATCATGTTAGTACAGCTAAATGAAACGATAATTTCATAAAAAATATCATGAAAATACTGAAACATAAAACCAGCAGTGGAATGACTGAATTGATATCACCTAACTAAAGGTCAATGGACGCGCGAACGCAAATTCGCGCGGCCCGCAACTAGCGGGCCATACCACAATACCTAATAATTTACAACACTTGTCTAAATACCTAACTTATCTACTTAACCTACTATTTTGCCACTGTGCTTGTGTCCACGTAGCCACTTTAATCCGAATTTACAGGTTAAATAACCCAAATAACTTGTTCTATTCCCCGCTAATGAAAAAATACTTAAATGAAATGTAACCAAGGTTGGAGTCATGCGTTTTTATTCATCGTGTAGGTATGTTTATTATTCTCATGTATTCAGTTATGTACCTATTCAGATTAGTCTAGTACTAAGTTATTTAAAAAAAATAATTATGAAATAGCTTACCGCTCTAAATCCTCCGTGGTCTTATGAGATGCGGCTCAAATTGTGCTCCATTCATTTCAAGGTAGATTTGGGTGCAGGCGGGGCATCATCGTGTGGTCTTCGACACAGTCCGTACATAGTTTCTCGAAAGCATCCACGATCCTTTGGCGCATTTCGTCAGCACTATCACACTCACGATTAAAAACCCTTTCTTTCACATACCCCACAAAAAGAAGTCTAACGGGGTCAGATCTGGTGAGCGAGGTGTCCAAGCGTGTGGTCCTAGTCTGCCTATCCAGCGATCATCAAATAGCTCATTGAGGCGCTCACGGACGAACCTCACGAAATGTGGAGGGGCACCATCATGCTGGAACCATGTGCGGCGATATTCAGCCAACGATAGGTCGTTTAAAATGTCAACCAACTGTTCATTTATAAAGTTTAAGTCTCGCTGTCCGTTCAGTCGCTCTGACAGAAACACTGGTCCCAGTATGCGATCCTTAAATAAACCTGCCCATACGTTAACCGACCATCGGGTTCGGTGCCCGGTTTGTCGAACAGCGTGCGGGTTAACCTCTGAATACACGTGTGTATTTCTTCGGTTCCACAGGCCGTTTCTGGTAAATGTCGACTCATCCGTTCAGATAATGTGCTCAATGGAACCAGGCACACGTTGTTGCTGGTATAATAACCAACGGCAGAAAACTCGTCGGCGGTCGTGATCGCCGGGAACTAAAGCTTGCACTTTGTGCAATTTGTATGGGTGCATTCGGTTACGCTTCAACACTTTGTGCACTGCACAGTATGACACACTTGTTCCATCCAGACGTCTTAACAATTTATTTAGCGATACTTCGTGTACCTAGGTTCGGATACATAACATGTTGCCGTATTCACAATCACTATAAACGTACGCGTTTAGCATTATTAAAACAAAAAACGTAACAACAAGAATAATACCAACACGTAATCACAAGTAATAACAATTTAATAAACATAACGATTGAGCTGTCGCTCGCGCACGCGTGTACAAAATCAACACGGAACTGTTTCAAAAACTACAATTAATAACGAACCCCGACAAAACTGAAACCTACTGCGTCACAGCGTGAGGCGACACGAGCCGGCCGGGTTACATTCTGCCGTCATAATAAAGAAGGACGCAACTAACAAAAACGTAATATGGAAATAAAAAATAAATTGATGAATTTTTCTTTCAGACCCTGTGTCTAAAGTATATTAAAAGGTATCTATATGAAAATTGAAATATATACGTAGAGACATGAAGATTTTAAGGACGAACAAATTTATTGATAATTTCTTTATTTATTTAAATAAAACGAATTTTCCTTTTCATCTTAGCTTAAAAAATACACCTGGCAACACAAAAACATCGAAGGAAAGACGCATATAACTATTTGCGTCTTTCCAACCTAATAAATTAAAAAATTGTTAGATGCGCCCTTTTTTCTTACGACCGCAGCATTGTTTCGTACCGAGCTAGATACAGGTCGATAGCGGAGGGGGTGTGGGTACAGTCGCGTTCTAAAGTACTACATGGTATTGGGCTATTGTTTTATAATATTATAGTAATTAATTGTTTTAATGTAGAATCATAATAGGTGTTTTACTAGCTACTTAGAACTTTGGAAGAGATGGGAATTAAAAATGGATAATGTTTACATGAGCATTATTTGTTATTTCTATCGTAAAATAAAAAGTAGTTTGTAACAAGAAAACTTTAGCTAAGGGTAACACGCCGTCCATTATGACGTCTTGGGTCACATGGAAGCCAGATGTTAATGGTGTGTTGGTGTTACTGGATGCTACTTCACCATCACTTTCATCTTCGCTTGAGCTTCCGTCATCAGGTCGATCACATGGTAATTTTTTCGGTATTCTTCCTCCACACTTTTAACTTTACTGCACAATTTTCCCCATTCACCTTCTCCTATCATATTTACCTTTTCGATCACTAGTTTAGTCATAAAACAATAGATATAAATAATTTTTCTTTCCTTCGCTTTCTTCTTAATCGTCGCGAGTCGCAAAGTAAGCTGTGTATGCGACTGTATTTTTGGAGCGAACAAAGCGCGGGAACCAATAGCATGCAGGCACACTAATACTGGCGGATTGTTCCCCCGTCGCGCGCCTTTCGTACCAATATGTGATAAATCGCTCAGTGCCCAAGTTCAAGGCCAGCGTTTGTTTTTCACCGTTCGCGCGTACATTAACCTCCATTAGTCAGGTGATATCAATTCAGTTTCCACTGCTGGTTTTATGTTTCAGTATTTTCATGATATTTTTTATGAAATTATCGTTTCATTTAGCTGTACTAACATGATGGCGCGTGAATAAAGCTAATAAAACGTTGTTAAAAGATGATTTTTTTTTTCATCAGGATCGACTTTATTTGTAACCCATGATCAAAGGTATACTTGGTGCTGTCGCCTGTCTTAGTTTTCGGGAGCGTTCCAAAAATACCCTGTATATATATATATAATGGCCATCGTCATGGCCATCTCCAAGGTCATCATCGTGGTCATGGTCATCGTCATTGTCATGTTTATGGTCATGGTCATCGTCATCGTCAACGTCATCGTCATAATATTCATTATTGTCATCGTCATGGTAATCGTTATCGTCATCGTCATGTTCATCGTCATGGTCATCATCGTGTTCATCTACATGGTCATCATCATTGTCATGATCACCGTCATGGTCATGGTGAACGTCATGATCATTGTCATCGTCATGGTCATAGTCATTGTCATCGTCATGTTCATCTGTAATAAAATTTCTCCACTATGTTGATAAAGAAGTTTTTGTTAGTCGTTTTATCAGGATAATTATAAAATCACAATACTAAATATATAAACAAGTTTATTATAAAAATAATATTTAGAGCCTACATACTATATTACATTTATATAAACTAATTTCAGTCTATTTAAATACAAAAACAGTTTGTCATACCAAGTAAAAGTTACAATTGTTTGTTTTTATATGGTTTTTTATAGTTCGATGATTACGACTGTAAAAACATTTTATTATCACATATACAAACATAATATACAACATTTTATCATACATATATCCACAAAATCAAAGAGGTATTAACAAAGATGCTTTGAAAAAATTGAAAGTTCAAATATAATCCAATTAAATTGAAATTTTATAATACCACCAGTATTTTACAGTACCACCTGCTTGGCGGTGAGAAAAACCATCGTGAGAAAACCTTCACGCCCGAAAACATCCTATTCATGCTCCAGTCGTATCGAATTGCTGCCCCATCGGACTAAATCTACACCTGTACGTGCACATACATACACTTGGGCACTATAATCCTGTCCTACCCAGATTGCAAGTCTTGTAAATTTGTTCTGGAGGACATTATCATTTCTATTGTGTATAAATTGAATGTTAATAATGTTGGCAGACCAACTAGCCCTAAATTTTACCAGTTTCTAAAAATGAATGATAAACTTAAGAAATTCCAAATTATATGCTATTTCATGACTGTTGTCGCGGAGGTCCCTGTTGAGCAGCTGGCGGTGCAGGGGGCGCTGGGGTGTCAGGCGGTTGCAAAGTTCGTGTTCGCCGCCTTGTATAATGTTGCCAGAGCAAAATCGCTTGATCGTCCATGAATTTGCAAACCTAAGACAAACAATCAATTTTTTTTTAAATACTTTTAGGAGAGGTGATGTTTACAAGACAGCTGTGTTATACCGCAAGAAATATTGTGCAATGCACTGTACCGTTAACAGATTTATTTCACCCAAAATAGCTTGGCACATTTGAGTGTTTGTTTTGATTAACCATTGTTAATTTTCAAAATTCTGTAATTTTATTCTTACCCCAGAAATGAGGGAACATAAGCATACTTAATTTTGTAACATTTTTTTATATAGTATAATGTCACCCTTATTCAACAACGAAGTCCACCTGATGATAAGTGCACACTGTTGCCCATAGTCATCATTTTGCCACTATTCCAGTACTAAATGAGAGGCGGAACAAGTGTGTCAACACAGGAGACAACTCAGGTGCACAAGCCTTTAGGACTATAGCTGGTATACCGTCTGGTCCACCAGCTTTATTCATGTCTAGACACCGCAAGGTTTTAAGAACCTCCTTATTCGTTATACAAATCTCCGACATAGAGGTGCCGCAGTGAGGTCATTTTGGTGGAACATTGTTGCCACTGTCCAGACGTGAATTGTAGGCAAAGAAAGACGCGAACAAGTCCGCTTTCTCCTTAGCCGTATGAGCCTGTGTGCCATCCGGTTTTACCAACGGAGGCAGTGTAGGCCGACAGAAGTTTGTCTCGACCGCTTTGGCGAGAGACCAAAAAGCTCTAGTGCCGGATGGTCTGGCAGAGAGTTTTGCGCCAATATGTTTAATGCGATCGAGACTAGCTTTCCGTAATGCTTTTTTGTAGGACTTGGCAGTCTGGTTGAAAGTTCTCTTCTTGGAGCTAATATTAACATTAATTTATCCTCAATTAAGAATTAAGATCAAAATTCTCACCTCTGCAGACAGATGGAATGCCTAGTTTCCAGTAAATAGGGTCTCCAGTTCTCTACTCTGACCATACGACAACGGTATTCTGTTAGAATGTGGTCCTACCCCGGTCTAGCTGACCCATTCAAGCTACAACCACAATATAACTGCAGCATGGCTCACTGAACCAAACGTCTTATAGAACCAGACCAGCAAAAAAATAGCAGCTTATTGCTGCAGTGTTTCTTATGGTGAATGTAGAGAACTGGAGCTTATAGGGTAATACAACGATACATCTGAATTTTAATTCCTATTCGAGAATAGATGTGGATAGTTATGAGCCACAGCATCTACTTACCATTATCATAATTAATAGTCTGTTGCCGAACACCTGAACATTGGCCTTCTTAAAATTGAGACAATCACAACTTAACTAAACACAAAAATCAACAATTTCTTTTGCACAATTATTGACTTTGCCTGAGATTTTAAATGATGACTTTTTTTATTTTATTGTCTGCAGAATCAACAGCATTTAATAACATGGGTGTGGAGTCATAACATGTAGAGTAGCCACCCATCAGTCTACTAGACCAAGTTGTTTGATAGCTTGAAAATTTAAAAAAATCTTACATGCAACATACCTGAGCTGACACACATTCCCTTCTAAAGGCTTCATGTTGTAGCAATTCCAGGAAGTGAAGGCACATTGGATATTTAAGATAGCGTGCATATTCAGGTTCACGCCAGTACTGAAGGTATCGCAAGTAATTTACAAATGTCTGTTCTTTAAGATATCCCCTTTGCGCTAAAACTAATAGAAATGCATAAATTGAATAAAAATCATTTTAAATCAATAAAGAATAAGCTCAGCCGCTCATCATTCAGGTTAGATCATTTGTGTTAGAATGTTAGAAAAAATATCCACTACCCATATTGCCCCATGGGCATTCTAAGAGGTAACAGAGGGAATCAAACCAGGAGTTGGCAGCAGCGATAACAACAATAGATAAAAGCAATGGCCAATAACCACATTATGATTTGTCCTATGTGATAAATGATTGATAGATAATATCTTATGGCGGCAGGGAGGAAAACGGGTCATACTTTCGTGTTTGATTAATTGGTAGGGGTGGTAGGATGAAAAAAAGGAGGCAAACCACAGTAGATATAAAAATATAATATCTATCCATTAAAAAAGTTTGAAACTGATTGAAGGTTTAGAACAGTTGAGCCAAAAAAATATTTTTTTAACATTACATTTTTTAATTATGAAAATATGGACTGGATTCCAGGCTCCTACTAAATAGTAAGTAGAAGCTAATACCTAATAAACAGATTTTTTATATTTCATACTCACAATGTATGTAATTTGGATTTGCTAAACACTGTACAAACTCAAGTTCCACTTGAAACCTTATTCTACTCTGTTCTTCAGTCTCAGCCATTACTGCAATATTAAATATTATTAAATATTAAATCAGTCATTTCCAAAGGTACCGCAAATATATTATAACAATTTAAAATTATACCTTTTGCAGCCATCATCTTGAACGTTGTATAACAGCTACTCTGATCTCCAATAGTCGCATAAATCACTTAAATTTTCTTCCAATCTCAATTTAAAATAATTTAATGAGTTAAATATGCGTATGTGACTATTGCAATACCCTTTGAGCCCGCCTAAGGGTATTAGTGTTCTGTGCCTTTGAGTAGGACCTGTATTCCTTCCTTATATATTACTATACTCTTTGCTGTATTCCTTGATTTGAAATTTTGAATAGGTACCTACCTTCCTACAAAACCACAAATACAAAAATTACATACAGAGTACATTAAAAAATACAAACATATAATTTAAAAAATAAAAACTAAGGATAGAAAGCACAGAGTACATTGAATATAGGGTGATACTGATAGAAAGTCGACCCTGACTTTGGTCAAGAATCGATCTTTTACTAAATATAATAGACTTTTTAGAATCGAGTTTAGTCGCCTCAAGTCTACAAGAATCGACTCACATTATTTCTCGTCATTTATTTTTTACTTAATTAATTACTAATATAATCCTGCATTATTTTTTTGTTTTTCTTTAAACATATTTTGTAACTAATAATAATTTCTGTGTGTAAAATACATTGATTTCTTATCCTGATCAGCATTTTATTCAATCCCCGCGAAAAATCTTTTATGTTTTATTTAATTCTCATTAATAATTCAGTATGGAGGTCTAACTTTTATCATATAAATATATCAATTAACAATATATCGATGAACATGATATCACGCTTGGCTGTAAATCGAAAGCAAAATCGTAATCCATTCGTTGTTTGGGAATCAATGAAACACGAATATCCATGCACATGGAATGTTGCCAAATCGTTTTCACCGCTTGTAGCAACTTCTGTACTTTGTGAAAGGTTGATTTCGCATGCCGATCTTATTGCAAATTAATTAATGAGTCGTTTATCATCTCAGCATTTAAAGGTATTGATATTTTAACGATCAATCGATAAAGATATATGGTTTTATTAATTATTTAATTTCAAAATTTAATTTTAATCTTCATTGCCTATTAGGCATTGAATTAGGCTATTTTTAATAATAATTATATGTAAATTACTTTTATAATTATATATTAATAAAATATCTAAATAACTAATAGTTCTATACAATATGTACACGCCCTGAGCTGCCCCAACAAAGATATACTGGACTAGGGCCCATCTGTAGTTCAATCAACTGGCAGCTCAGGACGGGGCCCAACGGCCTATGGAGACTTAGTATTCTACACGATAGATATAAGGCTAGGTAAATAAATAGTACGTACCTGGTTCCGAAGCTAAGACTGCCCCAAGGCTCGGTCAGGCGGTAGGTAGGTGTAGGTACATGTAAGTGGTGTGTAGTAGTGTTTATATATGTGACCTGACGGCCCGATTTAATCGGACAGAAAATCCACCGGAGCTGATGTTCTCCCAATGCGCGCTCCTTCAAGTCGTGGATCACCCATGGAAAATTTCTGCCTTCATTTCACTATTTCAGTCTATTAACTTTATTGTACACTATTTCAATCCATCAACTATATTGTACATTTAACTAACTTCAAACTCAACTAAATCCCCGTTAATCATAATCAATAACGTAGTACACGGCATGACTAATGAACGGTGGATCAAAGTTCACTTCCGTTTTCACTCAGCAACAAATTATTTCTAGAACCGAACGCGACCTTCTCTAGGGTCCCAAAGTTCCGCGTTACAAACAACAAACTAAATTCTTTCGTACGATATTAAATACTACGCCCGCATTAACTCAAAATCAGCCTAGCTGACACGCAAACTAACCACATAGTCAACACATAAAAGGCACTTAACGCGACGGTACAATTAAACATTAACTTCCAAATTAACCGGGCCACGCCCTCGAAATGGAATGCGAGCATCAAATTCCAGGCCGTATGTCCACTCGGCGTGCGCGCAATGTTCCACGTCACACAAGCAAGTTAAATATTGCAAAATGCACTTCAACATGCAATCACTATACAATTGACGTAATTACTTGCAAACGAAATTACTCTAATCAGTCAAATTCAATACAAGCCTCTTGTCACGAAACGTACAACTTAGACAAACTAATTCGAGGCAGTCTACACGAAACCCCCAATTCTATAGCAAATTAAACGCTCACAAATACTCAAATTCTAGACCCCAAAACCAAAAAACGGGTCGCGCGAAACCGATATAGCGGTCACAAAAATTCGCTAATCGACAGTGCCGCTGCTGTCAAGCTACTGACTTCGCACTCGCGTCCTGCGCCCGCGCCCTCTGCCGAGCGAACCACACGGGAGTGGGGCGACGGTGACCTTTACAAAGTCAGCGGGAGGACACGAGTGTTGAATGCAAATTTCAAATGTTAATTGTTTGGCCTAAACACATCAATTAGTAAATTTTTGAAAAGTCGCAAACTTTAAGTCAAAAATGTCATCTATTAGAGATAATTAATGGACTTCAAGAATTAATAAATGAAAGTCGATTCCAAAGCCAAGAATCGATTCTACGTGCGCCTTGTTTATCCTTATTACAAATTATTCATTTCATTATTTTATTGAAAGTTTGGAATAAACGTAGTGGTTATATTCTCTTTGGGTTGGAAGCTTGAAAGCATAGACATAGTATCTTAGTCAATCTTAGTCAATCCTCTATCTACGCTTGAAAGATACAATCACAGATAAGTAACAGCCACAGACTACGAACTACGAAGTAATGGGTTTGGGTAACAAATATCGATATATCGAAATATCTATTTGTATATATATATAGACGATATTTTAAGCGCGATACATCGATATCCGTTATTTGTTTTAGAGTATTCCAATTCGTATCACTTTCGTTATATTTTAAAATGGTGTATTAATCGATGAAACATTAAGCAACAAAAGCAGCTACAAAAGCGTTCATGTGCTGTTGTCGTTTTTTTTTTCAGCGTCCAATCGTCCAATAACAAAATGTTGGGCCTTATCCAACAAAATCATCCAAAACTATTTATAGCTTGAGATGTAATATATATTATAGCTCAGTGGAAACGGTTCCATATGAAATGTATGGTGAGGTGAGCAATATTAATTTATATCTCGAGATGTAATATATATTATATTATATCCCATAGTGAATGGCGGGCCTTACACAGGAAGATATTACCCATAAACTTAGAATATATAGACCAAAGACATTTAAGTAGTAGTAATAATAGACAGCTACCCTACCCCAGCCTACGAATTTGGGATATAGATATAAATAAAAATACACATAGATGTGTTTTTAAAAGCACTTCTCAAAATTTTCTTTATTTACACCGCACCCTCTTAGTTTATGAATAAAAAATAGGTAAATATCACGCATCTTATACCGTCGATATCTCTTCAGATACTTACAATTCGGTACTTCTTATAATTTAAAAAAACTGCACCCTGCTTGAATCTAACTCCACCATCGCTAAAAATCCATAAAATGCAATACTAATTGCAAAAAGTTAATGAAACTCAATTTATCAATCGTCGAATTGCACGGTGACTTGGCGCATGCGCGGCGCAGATATACTAGGGTTTTTATTTTGGGAGGTTTTTAGCGGCAATTTCACGCAGATTACCTATATTGCATTATAACTAGTACATTTTCCTTCTTAATAAAATAGTGAATATAAATAAATAAATAAAAATTACAAAGCTATTACAAAGTGTAATAGGCGTCATTAAGTTGACGATGGAAGTATAAAAATTGTAATCAAATCAATTACACTATCTGCATAATAAAAAACTTGGTTTGAAATTGAAAATTGTTTCCACAGGTATACTAATAATCTCGTTTTTAGATTTATATATTATCGAATATCCTACAGTATTTAATTCTCTCAGCAATATGCAATCCTTTTATTAGAAGTCAATGACATGTTAGAAGTCAATATATTGTAAATAAACAAACTTGTATAAGTGTTAAGTTGGAAGTCTAGACGTTAAATTATGAAATTAAAATAATAACATTCAATATTCAACATCACATGATTGTAAATATTTATAAAGTGATATATGGTATGGTATATTAATTATATAAATATTTATAATAATTAATATACCAATTATATAACATATTTTTTTCTTTCATATTCTGTATACATCTTTGTTCATAAATGATTTATAAAAATAATAATAGGAAGCATGCAATTTTATCAGTTAATTTATTTAATGAACATAACAATTATACATCGATACTTATAGGATCAATAACGTCAATAGCGCAATATTGTCATTTGAAAATTTGATGAAACAACGAAATCAAGTTTGATTTAATTATTTTTGTAAAATTTTAAGTTTAAACTTTTATACTGTTTACATAGTCAGACTAAAATAATCGTAGATTTTAAATTCAACAATTTTTCTTATTAAATAAATTTACTAATATATAATAAGTTAAAATAAAACACTTTAGAATCAATGACTGGTCAAAATCGATACAAAGTAATAGTAGCTACTAGGCGAATACATTGTCTTTTGTTTTCTTGTTATTAACAACCATAAACTGATTCTGATTGGTCGTTTTTAAATGGAGATAAAATTTGAAATGCTTATTAATAATTGAAAACCATGTTTAATTTGAAAAAAAAATTATAAGAATTTAAAAATGTCAATAAGGAAAGTGATAAAAAAATCTAGGAATTGAGAAAGGAATTCATCATTATAAGAGTTTCAATTGTTCATTTTTTTTTGTTGCTCCTCGGATGCGTAGTTTTGCACTGAACTAATAAGGAGAGGGTGCCGTGCAATTCGACGATTGATAAATTGAGTTTTATTAACTTTTTGCAATTAGTATTGCATTTTATGGATTTTTAGCGATGGTGGAGTTAGATTCAAGCAGGGTGCAGTTTTTTTTTTAAATTATAAGAAGTACCGAATTGTAAGTATCTGAAGAGATATCGACGTTATAAGATGAGCGATATGTACCTATTTTTTATTCATAAACTACGGGGATGCGGTTTAAATAATAAACATTTTTGAGAAGTGCTATTAAAAACACATCTATGCGTATTTTTATTTATATCTATATCCCAAATTCGTATGCTGGGGTAGGGTAGCTGTATATGTAATAGACCGGACATCAGCCATAGATATAAGAAAAATAGAAGATATCAGATGTAGTCACGTGATCTGAAGCACAGTGTTTCTCATGGCTCCAGTACACGTTGGCCGAGCGCGCTTGGCGAGCGCACTCGGCAGATTTTCGTGGT